TGAGATCGTATATCTAGCAAATTGAATTTAGCCCACTCATTTCGGTTATGAAATAATCTCCATTCTCTCTCAAACTACTGTGAAAATGAAAGAGGTGACTTCTCCCAAAAGTGTCTTTGACTTTCATTTGACTGTACTGCTGTATATAGGACAAAACTACTGCACAAAGGTCTATTTAGGATATGTTTTTCCAAAGAACATTACACTGAGCTCTTTGTACAAATTTAAACTAGGAATAAGTGTCTGTACTTTGGACAATAATGTTCTCTCTATATATATAGTTTTTTTTTATTAAAAATTCTGTATTTTGTAACTAATATTATGTTAGATAACACTGTCAATATATACCCTTTTTTCATATGTAATGGTTTCTGAAAAATCCGAAAGATCCAGACATTATTTTATTATTTTATTATTTTATTACTTTAAAAAGTTATTATCATCATTACATCGTTCCCAATTGCCAATTCACCTGCTCCTTCTCTCTCGCTTTTTCCCAATTAAGTCCAACTGAAATATTGCTTTCACATATCACAAAATAAATTGTGCAGAGCCTATTATACATCAATACAATCAACACAATCACTTTTTTATCGAGCTGTCGTAGCATCATGCACTTACAGTGTTTTTAACTTACTGAGACCATAAAACGCTTTGAATGCCAAGTAACGTATGTCGTTGTAAGCTAGTGAGCTGTAAATTCAAAGAGTTCATTTATTTCCATGATTTTTTTCATGAATAATGAGAAAATGATTTGTCATGCAGATCCTTACACTTACAGCAATTCAAGACTTCTGTAACGAGCCAAAGAACATCTCGGAATCATCTGTAGCTGATTACTTGATAGATCCCTAAAGATAACAAGATGTCCAGATCCTAATGAATAACTACGATTTGCATTTCAACTTGATTAAAATGAAAAATAAGCACCGTTTTCCAAGAACTTTTATCGTATAATTATCTATGAAATACCTATATTTTTCCATTTTGTCAAGCTATTTTCACTAATGAAAATAAAATAGCACATTCGATCTTTCTCTATATAGTGGAAGTAAGAAAAAAGGTATTTTACGACGTAATTTGCTTTAATATGCAATTATATAAGCAGAATATTGCATGGTCGTTTGGAGATACGAATTTTATCTTGTCGTGTTGAAAAATCTCTCACTCGTTCGGTACGCTCACTCGAAGATAAAATCTCCGCGCGTCCATGTRACATCCTCTATACATCACTTAGAAAATAAGTTAAACTGTACTTACAGCTTCGTAAAGTTCTGTCTTGCATTCTCCAGAAGACTTTCTAACTGGCAAATATCTGTTATCTTACACATCACTGAGCTACCATTAAAACCAGTAGAACAGTTGCTAGTTTTTGATGTTATGCAATAGTTACTTCTCCTTCCTTCGCTAATATTTCCTAAGTTCAGAAAAAATGTGATCATTATGAACCATGAAACAAAGTAAAAAAACCGAGACCTCATTGTAAGCTTTGAAGTTCAAAGATATGCGTGCAATGAAAGAGATCTTTTTATTTTTGCAAACGTTCAGAGAGGTTACGTACAGGAAACACTTAAAAAACAAAACACCTTGACACCCATTCATATTGTATATATTATATTATATTCTGATCTTTTCCCAGCTGTTAACAGAATTACCTTATAAATGCCTTTGCAAAAATAGAAATTATTTTAGCTTCCATTGTTCTGCTTGACAATCTTTTTTAGAAGGTCTAGAATTGACCAATGATGTATGAAGTGGCTTCCAATATTCATTGATAAGCTTCTCTTTTGTGTTTCTAAGTGTTCTTTAAAAAACACTGGTCATCAGTTTTTGAAATCTGTCTGAGCTGCTTAAGAAAATTAATTAATTAGTTAATTGTAAGTGCTTAGAAAGATCCTTAGCTTCGAAGGTGGCATTTCTTTGTAAATTATACAACCAGTCACAAAGATAAGCTAACAAGCTGACCGCTGTACTTGTACTTGTAAGTACAATAGCACTTACAATTTGTATATTTCCCCAGTTCAGTTTAACCCTGTATTCCGGCCAAGAAGGTTTAAACCTTTTAGTTCTTATGGGAATACAGGCCTAGCTTAAATCTGGGGAAAGACTATTTTAACGACATTTTATCGTAACCCTTTTTGTGTTTGGTAAGGTCTTTGCGCAAGAGAACATTTCGATTTCTTAATTTAGTMTCAAACTGGTGTGGCTATTGTTTATTAATGTGGATGTAAGTCTATTTAAAGACACGTACTCCTGCCATTACAGATATCCATGTAACATGTGCATACGTTGATCAGGATTTTTTRTGCATGAGCCATTGTTTCTACTGGTGTACGTATGTTCTCGATATGCAAAGTTTCACARGTTGTGATTGGTTTAAAATTTCCTGGGAAAGGGATTTTTGAGCTACATTGTTGACAATCTCACAAGCAAATGTGGCGCCCTTCCTTCTTTAAAATAATTTTGTTCCTGGCAAACGTTTTTTTATGTCAAAAAACGCTTATATAACGTTTAAATTATCTTCAAACACGGCTTATATTCTTTTAGTTAGGGAATTTTTATTTTCCTGGCAAAGATTCTTAGAAAGKATTCTTTGCTTGGAGAGTTCTTTTTTCCTGAATTTCTCGTGGCGGGCAACCCGGTACTGGCTTACAGATTGCTGGGACATAAGAACAGATATATTTCTCCCAGGAACTTGTCAGCTCCTCCTATTTGGTGGTCAGCAATAGTGAATAGTCCCGTTACACTTAGGATCACTGTGGACAAACGTATACGTCACTCGCTTTCAATTTTCTGTTGAAATGTATGCAGGTAAAGTTTATTTCTCCTTGAATCAATAAAATATATGTGAAGAAAAAATTAAAAGAGACAACGAACTATCTAAAATGGCAACAACATCATAATAGGGGGATTTTTTTATCATGCAAAAAAAGATGCTGTGTGCAGGCTTATTTCAAACATTCCTCCGTCTTTTCCTTTTTTTTTAAGAATCTCATACTCAAGCACAACTATTCAGCTTTGATCCCATACAAAATGTATGATTTTGCTGTAGATATCGTGTCGCCAGCTTTCGCAAACGGAAATCAAGACAACAATTTTATTTCACCATAATTCTATCGTGCTCGATGTTACTGCTATCATGTAAGATTTAATCAATCATTAAGCAATTGTACATCATGTAAACTATTTCTGTCTTTGCGGCCCTTTTGGCCAGAGCTTTCCGAAATTTAATCAATAAAGCAATAAATTAAAAGTTTTCATGATGATTGGTACATTTATTGTATATCAACCATATTTCTACTTAAAACAACAACTTTTCGAGCAGAAGAAAAACGTCAGAAAATAAAAAGATTTAAAAAAGAAAAAGAATTAAGCCGACCAAAATACATATTTATGTATTTTGAATGCTCCCAGGACGAGCAGCATAATAGACTCTTAACTAAGGAAGATAGATTCGATATCTACAAATTCTGATCAAAATTGTGATGTGGTCTTATTTTAAATTCTAGATTGCTGTTTCAACGAACAGTCCTAAAGAAG